GGAGCTATCCAGGCTGAATGGATATGTATACTGTAGCTTTCTGGCATCAGTCAATGTGCTTGGAGTTCTTGCCTACTGGGGACCACAAGCCAGAACCTGGCCCCCCTCAGAAGAGGCACGAGGAGCAGTGGCCTATAGAAACCCCCCTGTGGTTGGGAGCATTCTGTGTCGCCCATCGACCAGGACAGGCACCCAGAAAGGTAAGCGCCCCAAAACAAACACCTATTCTGGTAAAACTATTGCTACCGAAAGCTGAAGAAAAGGACAACTCCTCAAGCGAAAATTAGCAAACGAGTACGTCATCGTCGTGTTGCCGTGCCGCCCTCTGAGCAACGTTTGTTGTCTGTTCGTACTCCAGTTTACCCAGGCTTCTGATACTGATATGAGGGTGCAGGCAGCAGCCTCATTGCATGCTCAGTTTAGGTTGCTGCAATGCGCTCGGTTGATTGCGGCCCCGGATGTCCCGAGACTGCCCTGTTTTAGTTATAGGGACCCGGACATAGGGGTGGGGGTCGCTTCGGCTCTGGTTCCGTCCATCCCTCCTAGTCCTTTCCCTTCGGTTGTACGTTCAGTTCTTCCCCCCCCCCCCCTCTTGCTTCCGGCTTCGAAATGTCTGAGGGTTTCGGAGTCGTGGGCAGGATTTAGTTGGTGTCGAGACTCGGGCGGTCTTGGGGGAGTCCCCTTCTGGGAATGCAGCGGTGGCATTCGAGCTTGATCCTCCTGCCGAAGCTTCTGGGTCTGATCAGTGGGCTCCCTTCATTCCAGCTTTTTTGGCTGGTCCCGCTTCTACTTTAGGGGCGGGGAATCTGGAGGATGGCTCGGCACTGGGTCCCCTGGGTGGGGTTCCTTGGGCTGGGAAGGGGGTTGACTTGAGGGCCATTGGACCCCCACTTGGGTTTTTCTGCCCTCTGGGCGGGGCTTAGTGTTACAGGGTGAGGGGTTCTCTTTCGATCCCTCCTTGTACAAGTTGAATTTGGTGTCTACCACTCCCAGGGCTTGGTTCCGTGATCCCGTGGGTTCCTCGCTTCCGTTCTTCCGGAGGTTTTCGGCCTCCCACTTCCCGTCTAAGGCTTTCGGCTTCCTTGGTGGCTGTCCTCGGTTTAGCTTATGTTGGATGTGGGTGCGCTGGGCGCTGCCACAAGTTCAAGCACATTGCCCTCTGCTGTGCAGTCATTATCTGCTTGTTGAAGTAGTTTGCGTCGCTCCTGCGGCATGTGGTTTCGCGGTTTTATGCTTCTTGCCTCGCATGTCGGCAGGCTGGGCATGCTGCTTCTTTGGAATCCGCTTGGGCCCTGGCTCTTAGGTTGTCTTCTCCCTTTTTTTCATTGTTGTTTGCAGTCTGCGGTGGTGCAGTATTTGCAGGCGGCTTCAGTTACTTGTTTGCCAATGTCGAACGTGTTGGTTCTCTGGGGCGGCTCGTGGGGGCCTTCCCGCAAAGGTTGTGCCAGGGCTTGGGGTTCCTTCTGTTGGGGTAGGCCAGTGTGTCAGATTCGGGGCTGGCGCAGCCTTCGGTTCAGTATGTTTCTACTAGGCACTGGGATCGCCCTGTGCGCCGCTTAGGTTCTCCTGAAGTGCGTCGGCCCTTTCGCGGTTCGCCCTGTTGACGGGGGCGGTGGGGGAGAGGCTCGCGCCTGGTCCCACGATTCGTGGGTTTTTCGGGTCGTTTCACACGGCCTGTGGTGGCGTTGGTTGGCTCCTCGTCCTGCCCTCCTCCTCCCGTACCCCTTGGGGGGTACAGGGCTCGCAGGGCAGGCCTCCTCTACTGCGATCTGTCAAGTCATCGCGGATTGGTTTAGCATGGGCATGGTCGAAACGACTTCGTCCCTCAGGTGGGTTTCCGCCTGTTTCCAGTCCCAAAACGGGACTGCGCAGACTTTTGGTTCATTCTGCACTTGTCCTGTTTGAACCCGTGGGTTCAAATGGGACCAAACTCTCACAAGTCAAGCCGCACATGGCCTGCGGGACCAAACTCTCACAAGTCAAGCCTGGCCTCGGGCTAGGCTTGGTGAGTAAAAGAGCTCCCAGAACCCCCTCGGGCTAGGCTTGGGGAGTAGAAGAGCTCCCAGAACCCCATCAACCAGGTATCAACCAGGGTTGTTTGCTCCTCTTTCCGGATGACTACTGTCCCAGGTCCGTCTTCTGTTGGAGCCAGGTGCTTGGATGGTGTCCCTGGACCTCAAGGACACGTATTGGCATGTCCCGGTTCATCCGAGGTTCAGGGACTGGCTTGGTTTCGTTGTGGGGCGTCAAGCTTACCTCTTTCGTTGTCTTCCGTTCGGTTTGAATGTGACGTCTTGGGTGGTTACTTGCCTTATTCGGGTCGTGGTGGCCTGACTGCTTTTGTTAGGTGTACGGGTTCTGGCCTACCTCGACGACTGGCTGGTTTGGGCTCCCAGCCAGTCCACGCATCTGCTCGCCAGGGATCTATTCGCGTCGGCGTGGTCGAGGCATCTTCCAGTATACATGGCGCCCTTCCCCGACAGCGAGGCCATCGGGGTCGATGCTTTTCCGCTGGACTAGGTGAGATGGGTTACTTGTACCTCTTCCCTTTGGTTCACCTTTTGCTCCAGGTCTTGGCTCGTAAGGAGACTTACCAGGGGAAGGTTGTCCTTCTGGATCCTTGGTGGCCGGCCCAGCTTTGGTTTCAGGCGCTGCTTGCTCGGTGTCCGAACCCGAGGGTCTTCCCGCAGCTCTGCCTCTTTCAGCAGATCGGGCCAGTCTGGTATAAGGCTGGTTCGGTCTTCTCCTCAAGTCTTTGCGTCTGGAGTTTTTGACACGTGTTCATCATCACTTGTATGGTGCTCAGGTGGCTTCGTTGTTGGTCTCCCATCTGCGTGCTTCATCTTGGCGGCAGAATGAAGTTTCCTAGCGGTCCTTCCGTTTTTTCTTATCACTTCGTAAGTGTTCTTCAGTCTCTGATATGGTTGTTTTGTCCTTTCTTTCTTGGTTGTTCCAGGACCATCATCTTATGCCGAATATTGTCGCCTTGTATCGTGTAGCGTTGGTGGAACCGCTTCAGCTTGCTTTTGGTATTGATGTTACTTCTGCTACATTCCGCAAGCTGTCTCGTGCTTTGTTTCACCCCTGGCCTGCTCATGTGCCGCCTGAGCCGTCCTGGTCCTTGGACCGGGTGCTCTCGTTTCTCTCTTCTCCTCGGTTTGTTGCCATCAACCAGGAGGCCTGGTCGACGACTGGGCCGCGGGGACGTTAAGCCCCGAAAGCACCGCAAGATAAGGTAAGGCCCTCTGGGGGTCAAGTGGAGAGCTTCATGCTCTCCTCTGGCGAAGGGGTTTCTGCTCTTTTGGTCCTGGGAGGTCGTTTTGTTCGCTTGCAGCTGTCTCCTTCTTTTCTGGCGAAGAATGAGACAGCTGCGTTCTGGAGGGGGCCTAGGGTCGTTGATGCTTGGTTGGTCAGGCAGGGGGTACATCATGTGTTGTGTCCGGTTGCAGCTCTCCGCCGTTATTTGTGTGCCACAGGTTCGGTGGCCGGGGATGCGCTCTGGGTTGACCTGGTCTCCCTTCTTCCCTGTTCCTGGGCTCGGGTCTCTTAGGTCGTCCGCAGGGTTAAGTTTAGCCAGCCTGTGGTCTACCCCTGGGCCCACGACGTTCGTAAGTTTGCTGCTTTGGCTGCCGCCTTTGGCAACATGTCCTGGGTTGACATTCGGGCCCAAGGTTTTTGAAGGTCGAACAGGATCCTGGCAGCTCGCTACCTGGTGAGTGTCCCTGGGCCTAGTAGGGCCTGCATTGCCTTGGGTCGGCGGTTGCAGCCAGTGGTCTCGACTTCCCGTTGAGGAGTGAGGACGGACCGCCTCCCATGTAAGTCCTTTGCTTTTCTTCTCTTTGGGTAGTTAGCTCCATGGAGCCGATGGGACTTCCCCTAGAAAACCAGCGTTGAATGTATTGAAACGCCATTTTATGGGCAAGTCTCGGAGGCTCCCTGGCATCCCTCCCTCCCGGTTGGTGGTGTTTTTTCGTGTGTTTTGACATCCAGCCTAAGAACTAGTGTTGGATAGCTGGCGCGAGGGGACTGGGGCTCCCCCTTCCCCCTCCTGGGAAGGGGGATTGTGCAGATGGCAGCGCAGCAACATGATGTCATGCTCGTGTTCTAATTTATGTTTAGGAAGTTCTGTCCACTTGTTCGGCTTTTGGTAGCAATAGTTTTACCAGAATAGGGGTTTGTTTTGGGCCGCCTGGTCGGTGGCAGACATAAAATGCTCCCAACCATAGGGGGGTGAGGGTTCTATAGGCCATTGCTCCTCATGCCTCTTCTGAGGGGGTAAAGTTCTGGCTCGTGGTCCCTGGTAGGCAAGAACACCGTGCACGCTGACTAATGCCAGAAAGATATACATATCTATTCAGCCTGGATAGCTCCTGGGAGCCTCTGGGACTCGCCCAGAAAATGGCATTTCACTACATTCAACGCTGGTTTTTTGGGGGAGTCCTGTGTGTCTGTTCAGTCTTTAGTTGCAATTTCTTAACACTTAGGTTTGTTTTGTTATGCATACCTTTCTGGGTGCCTAACCCCGGATGATGGCAGAAATGGAATGCTTCCAAACACATGGGGTTTCCATAGGCCATTGCTTCCCGTGCCTCTCTGAGGGGTGGCTCAGGTTCTGGGCCATTGTCGCGTGTAGGCAGAACTCATTGACCGATGCCCCAGACTAAGAGAGTGTATATTAGTCCAATAGCTCCAGGGAGCCTCTGGGGCTCAGCCAGATAATGTGTTTCATTACATTCAATGCTGTTTTTTTTAAGAGTTGACTGTATTGTGAACCTGTACTTTCAAATAATAGATCATATTTTGATGCTATAATCCTTAACAGACAAAATACTGGATATGAGGAAAAGTCGAAGCTCACAAACATCCATGTTTATTTGCAGTTTAAGTATTCTGTACTGTATTTTGTCATTGTGACATCTCGAGGCCAGGTTGGTATATTACATGCACTGTATCACGTTGTATTAAAAATGTCTGTACTTACCTCATAATTTTATGTTAAGGAAATGAAACTTGAGCAAGAAATTATCCAGCGTCAAGATATCTTGAAAGAAGCCAAAGCATTCGTGCAAGGAGAAATGTCCGTTTCTCATCCTAAGGATTTGTTGAGTGTATTGCAGAGGCTTGCAGTGTCTTATCCTCTTATGAAGGACAGAAATTACGAGCATGACAACATACTCAGGTATGTATTACAGTACTATTACTAAATAAATTTTTTAAGAATTGTCTATGCTAAATGTTTTATAATAATAATAATAATAATAATAAATAATAATTAATAACAATAATAATAATAATGTTTATTTACCTAATTTACCTGAGGGGGGTTCACTAA